TAGCTGGGACTACAGGCATGTGCCACCACGCCCGGCTCATTTTTTCTATATATATTAGTTGTCCAATTAATTTCTTTCTATTTATAGTAGAGACGGGGTCTCGCTCTTGCTCAGGCTGGTTTCGAACTCCTGACCTTGAGCGATCCTCCCGCCTCGGCCTCCCAGAGTGTGGGGATTACAGGCGTGGGCCGCCACACCCGGCCCATGCTAGTATTCTGTTTCACTCGTAAGGCAGCTGGTTAAATCTCCAACTGACCCTAAGATGATTCCGTTGATTTCCCACCATGGTGTGAAACAAGCCTCTATCTTTTTCTGTCCCTACACGCCTTTGGCTCTTGATTGTTAAGGTAAACTTCTAGTTTCCATGGCTGTGTGAATAACAACAAAGTGAAATTCCTCCCACTTTAAAATGCTGGGAGAAGTTAACAAGTGATACTTTCTGATTTGTAAACGAATCGCATCTCCCGCTTACCCTAGTAGACCTCGGCTTACAAATGATGCTTAACCCAAGAGTCTGCAAGCTGACTGTCAGAAACACTGGTTTTTCTCAACAGTGTTCATGTAGCTTTTAGGTGGGTTTTATAATAGTATTGCTGCTATGGAGTATGTGTATATGTGTGTGTGTGCGTGTAAATTTTAAGTGCAAACTAATAGTTATACTTCATTTATAGCACTGGTTTTATGTAAAAAAAAACAAAAAAACAAAAACGGTTTTCAAGTTCTAATATTCGTTGCCGCTAATAGAGAAAGGGAGAAAGTCTTACTCCTACCCAGGTACGAGTTTCGTAGTAGCAACTCCTGCAGGGGAAAACAGGGGAGAGGGAGGAAAAACAGGCTGTCGAAATCTTGCAGCGGGATTTGAGCTGCATAGACTAGTTCCCAAACCATCACCAGCCTTAGCCTCCCTCCCGAGTAGCTGGGACTACAGGCATGCGCCACCTCGCCCGGCTCATTTTATTCTGTATATTTTTAGTCGGCCAATTAATTCCTTTCTATTTTTAGTAGACACGAGGTCTCGCCCTTGCTCAGGCCGGTCTCGAACTCCTGACCTCGAGCAATCTGGGAATCTTACAGATAGTCCCAGGATGAGTCTTTTGTGCACCTGTGTCTTTGTCATTCCTAGAAGCGGAATTTCGGGTTCGATAATTCTTACAAGTTATAAATTATAAGAATATGTCCTGGTAGGTCAGCACGAAAAATCATAAAGCTTCCAGGTTTTGAGGAGTCTGAGTGCCAAGCTACAGAGAGCGCGTGTGCCCAGAAAGCCACGGGTGCTGGGGAAGTATTTTACGCAGGGTATAGGACATGACGCCACATTTTTAGGGGAATGGTGACTGCCAGGGGTGGATGGTTGAGAAGGGAGGCAGACCAGAGGCGGGAGGGGCCGGGGAGACTGATCACTGATCATGAAGGCATCACGTGCACTGCGGCATTTGGGTTAGTGCAGATGCGCTGGGCAGCCACACCCGTCACTGGGGCTGATTTTGATGGCCACGCCCATCACTGGGGCTGATTTTCATAGCCACGCCCATCACTGGGGCTGATTTTCATGGCCACGCCCATCACTGAGGCTGATTTTCATGGCCACGCTCATCACTAGGGCTGGTTTTCATAGCCACGCCCATCACCAGGGCTGATTTTCATAGCCACATCCATTGCTAGGGCTGATTTTTCATAGCCACGCCCACCACTAGGGCTGATTTTCATAGCCACGCCCCTCACTAGGGCTGATTTTTCATAGCCACACCCACCACCAGGGCTGATTTTCATAGCCACGCCCCTCACTAGGGCTGATTTTCATAGCCACATCCATCACTAGGGCTGATTTTCATAGCCACGCCCCTCACTAGGGCTGATTTTCGGGGTAGGGCTTCTATTGCTCATGTGCTTAGACATCCTGCTGGGGCTTATTTCATGGGGTAGTCTTATTTTCGGGGAAACGTGGTACATACACCCAGGACCATTCCTGGCACAGAATAGATGGTCTAAATTGTGTTGTATTGACCTAAATAGCCCTTCTGACTATCCGCCCGTACAACTTTTAATATCCTTAATTATTTTTATAAAAGTTTCGGTGGGTTTTTCAGCAGTTATCTATATTTTCCTAACTTGCATATGCATGTATTGAATATCCGAGTGAAATTAGACATACAATATGTAGCCATGAATGGAAGCCAAGTGAACTAACTTATGAAAACACTAAACTTCAGATCTCATAAGCTTAGCAATGCAAACAACCGCTCAAACGCATAATTTTAGATGGCATGTAATATTTCAGAGAATTCATTTCTTGCAGAAAGTTTTGCTGTCGTGATGCTCTTTGAAAAATACAAAAAAAAATTTAAAAAAGAGCAGGACTATGTATTATTCTAGATTAAATTCCACGTCTCTCTCTGCCACAAATGCAGTTCCGCGTAATGTAACTTTTCCACAGCAATGCAATAAAATGAAAAGGATCGGCCATAAGAAAACATGTTTTAACGTTGTCCAAACATTTCTATCATATTTCTGGCAAATCCGTGGCAAAACGTTGGAAGCGTTTTGCACAAACATTGGCTGAATCAACCCTAGATCAGCGGCGTTTAAACGGTTTGTAGCTGCATAGACCACACATCTCAGTCTGCCCGGGACTGCCCGGGCTTCCTCTTGTCCTCTGGGCACAATTATTAGTCGCAGCCACTATCTTGGGTCCTACTTTGGACAATAAAATTATTAAGTGCGTCCTCCTTACAGCCCGGTTTACACAGAGATCAAAAAAGAGAAAATAACGTGTAACGTTTAAATGTCACCATGATTCGTGCAAACTCTCCTGACTTTTCCTGTTTGTTTTTTTTTTTAAATTGTGTTTAAAGTGTACAACTGTGAAATATATGTGTTTATTGTGAAATACTCACAACCAATCAAGCTAATTAGCGTATCCATCCATCTCACATAGTTATCATTTTCTGTTTTCCTTCCTTCCTTCCTTCCTTCCTTCCTTCCTTCCTTCCTTCCTTCCTTCCTTCCTTCCTTCCTTCCCTCTTTCCTTCCTTCCTTCCTTCCTCCCTCCCTTCCTTCCTCCCTTCCTTCCCTGTTGCCTGTGTTTTTGGGGTCATATTCAAAAGACCATTGCCCAGACAAATTTCAGGGAGCTTTTCCTCTGCGTTTTCTTCTGTAATTCTATATTTCTAGAATTCTAAATTCTACAATTTAAGATCTTCGGTGGAAGTCCTTAATCCAATTCGAGTAGATTTTTTTTATACGACGTAAGAGGAGGGTCTCATTTCTTTCTTCTGTATTTGGACACCCAGTTTCCCCAGCACCACTTATTGAAGACACTTACCTTTCCCCGCTGTGTGTTCTTGGCATCTTTGTCAAAGATTAATTGGCTTGCCAGAAATGCACGGGTTTAAGTCTGGACTGCCCCGTTCCCTTGGTCTGTTTCTATGCAAGCGACATATTGCATTTTCAGGTGATAACAAAAAAATGGTATATGGATGCCTCAGAGAACAATGGTGTAACTCAGAGTGAGTTTAATCAACGAATTCCACACTTTCGAACGGAGTAAGGGGAGTGATGAACAGAGTGCAAAACAACGGAGAAATTCGATCAGAGGAAACGCACTAAAAACAAATAACCACAAACATTTGAGAGGCAGACTGGTCCATAAGCCACAGACCTCATCTCTGTGACTGTCCTTTTAAAAGCAAACATAATATCAGTGACATGTTAGCAGGAATAAGATACATTAAAAAATAAGTACTTTTATTTGAGACAGAGTCTCGCTCTGTCTCCCAGGCTAGAGTGAGTGCCGTGGCGTCAGCCTCGCTCACAGCAACCTCAGACTCCTGGGCTCAAGCGATCCTCCTGCTTCAGCCTCCTCCCGAGTAGCTGGGACTACAGGCATGCACCACCATGCCTGGCTAATATTTTTCTATATATTTTTAGTTGCCCCATTTATTGCTTCCAATTTTTAGTATAGACAGGGTTGGGGGGGGTCTCGCTCTTGCTCAGGCTGGTCTCGAACTCCTGACCTGGAGCGATCCTCCCGCCTCGGCCTCCCAGAGTGCTGGGATGACAGGCCTGAGCCACCTCGCCCGGCCAAGAATTTTAATTCTCAGGTATGTTCTTCTACATAGTTGCACGGACTGTCCCTATCGACTTATCTTGAGACCGAATGTCCCCAAATGTGTTTTGAAATATGTCTGCCAATTTAAAGTCGTTTATCTGTGTCAATCCCTAATAAATGTTGACTCTTGCAGCTTTTACAACTGGGACAATCACACCGCCGTTTGCAACTCAAGTCCCAATTTTCAAGTGATCACCGACAATCCGGAAGGCTTGCTTTTCAAATACAAAAGGGACCGGAAAATTCTCAACGTGGACTCAAAGGTAATTCTGCTTTTACGCTTAGTTATCTCTTCCGATGTTACTCTGTTTATACCAGTCTTCAAAAATCTACTGAGTATGCCACACTCGTTAGTTTTTTTGGGCCTCGAAATGAAACGCCATTGGGAGCCTTAGAGCATGCACCGTCTTTGCAAGAAACGTTCCAAAGATTCCTAAATTATTAGAAATCAACAAGGAACACAATGAGTGAGACGTGCACCGTCTGGGGAATGGACACGCTTGAAGCTCTGACTCGGGGGGGGGGGCGGCAAGGGCAATATATGTAACCTTAACATTCGTACCCCCATAATATGCTGGGAAAAAATTATAATAAAAAAAATCAAAAAGGAAGAGTTTCGTGGGAATTTAAATACTGTGTTTCCCCGAAAATAAAACAGGGTCTGATATTTATTTTTCCTCCAGAAGACACCCTAGGGCTCATTTTCAGGGAATGTGTTATTTTTTTTAAGTGCGGTACAACCATCTGCGTTGATTCAAATAGAGTGAAGTCGTCTTCTTCTGGAACATCATCCTCACTCTCCAGACCCCGAATCCCATCCTGAATGTCTTGCGACTCTGTTTCCTTTAGAGCCACCGGCCCCGATCTCTCCTGTCGATACAAGTGGATCTATCATTTGTTCCAGCAATCCCATTACTGGGCATCGACCCAAAAGATCCAATGACACTCTGCAAAAAAAAGGCACCTGCACTCGAATGTTTATAGCAGCACAATTCGCAATTGCAAAGCTGTGGAAACAACCCAAGTGCCCATCAAAATCCATGAGGGCGTTAATAAAATGTGGTCTGTGAATGTCGCTTTTTAACTGTGGCCCCAGTCACAGCCACTAAGCAAAGCTGAGGCCTTGCCAGCTCTCTGGTTTTGCTACCCAAGTCTCCGAGTGTTTGGTTGATTATAGCCCTAAAACACCCACGCTCTAAGTAGCTCTTAAACATTCGCCCCCCCGCCCCCACCTGAGCATTCACCTGGTGTATGTATATCTGAACTGAAAGTCCCACCGCCTATAAATTGAGTATTTACTCAACTAACGACCTACCGATCAACTCAATGGCCTGGAGGAACACGTTAAACATTACATAACAGAACTTGGCTTTTATGAATGAAAACTCCTAAAACTTAAGTGCCATGCCCTGCTCTTGACCTGGAAAACTGATTTCAATTTTATATGCGGCGTTTAAGGAGCAGCCCCTAGAGATAAGCACATTGCTCTCAAGCGTTCAGGGCATGAACTCGTTGCATATATGAAGTGTGTTACGAGAAAGGCCAGCTGGAGGAAGGAAAAAAAAAATATACTATATATATGTTCAAATTTTGATGTTATGGTATATATCAGCCCATATAAATAATATCTGCAATGTTCTATTAATAAAGGAGTATATATAGGCCCGCGGGGGCAAAGCAGTGGGCTCAAAACCGCCTGTCATCCCAGCTCCTGGGAGGCCGCGAGGTGGGAGGATCGCTGCCAAGGTCAGGAGTTGCGAGACCCGCGCTGAGCAATCGAAGCGGAGACCCCCCGTCTGCTACCAAAACTATAAATAGAAAGAAATTAGGGCTGGAGCAAACTAAAAATATGTATAGGAAAAATGAGCCGGGGCCGTGGTGGCGGCATGCCTGTAGTCCCATGTACTCCGGAGGAGGCCTGAGGGCATAGTATGCTTGAGCCCATGGAGTTGGAGGTTGCTGTGAGCGAGGCCTGATGCGCACGGCACCTCCGCCCTCCTAGCCCTGGGCAAGCCCAGAGTGAGAAGCTACTGTCTCAAAAAAAAAAAAAAACATTTTGAGAGAATAGTAATGGAAATTGACTCCTCCTGCCACCCATGCAGCATTGATATATCTACAGTGAAAAAGAAAAGTAATCATATCCCGACAAAACATAGGCCCATGGCCAAAAAATGACTGTTTTAAGCTTTTTAAATGCACGCTGGGGCAGGCTAATCAATCTAAACGATGCCTAAAGGGCACGAGGGACCGGTATGGGCCCAAGGGAACATGAGGGCGGAGAGATTTGGGGAAAGAGAAGTTAGCCCCCAGATTCATGCTTGCATTTTTGCAAAGCCACAAAATATGGGTGAAGGAGCCCCTAAAAAAGTTTACGTTTTCGTTGGCTGGATGAGAGTGATTATAAGAACAAAAAGTAAAATTGTTTGCCGTACTTATAAATA